GCTGAACCATTTTAGTGAACTTTTCTTTTTTTAGATATTGCATTTTTCAATTCCACAATTATTTGTTTTCTTATTATAATAGCCATCTCTGGGACCAGTAGTTAGCGTGATGGCTATGTTTCTGGACTCCCATGTAGTCGACCGCGGTTCGAGTCCTGGACCTGGTGACTTAAAACTCACGCCTGGTGCATGTGCATGCATGCCCAAGGTCCCGAGAGAATGGAGAAGGGATTGTGGTATGGCCACCCACCCTGGGGGGTGGGGGGGATTTCTCGCTTTCTATCTTTCTCGGTCTTTCTGATGAGCACATGCATCCTATAGCAAAAACCTCTCCAAAAAAATTAAAAATAGCCATCTCTTTAGTTCTCTCTTTTATCACAACTCCTGTATTTGTTTAAACATGGTTTCTTTCGTTTTTTGGTCATACTTAAAATCATTGACTTAAAGTTTCTGCCTGGTATAATGATTAGACAGCTCCACGGGTCCCTGCAATCAGTGCGTTTCTTGCTTTTCGAAGGAGCTCTGGATGTGTATTGGTGCAGGTCTTCAACATTTAGACAGGCTTTCACAGCCGTGCCTTAGCCATCATGTCCAGCTTGTAGGGAGTCTCAGATTTTTAGACTGTACTGAGGACTTAGGGTTTTCTCAGGTCCTTTGTGAGCATCCCTGTAGCCCACACTTGCATGTGGCTTTCTAGAGTGCCGAGAATTCAGAGGAGCTTTTCATTGCCTCTGCTCGCAGATGTTCCATCTCTTAGTGGGGACGCCACTCCTTTGGTTTGTTTTGCGAATATTCAGGCTGTGCTTTTCTGCGTGTTGTATATTAAACTGCAGTCAAAATGTTTTAAAACTTACGTTTTAAAGTTGGTTGTAAGGTGTGGTCATGCCACAATTGAATAGCGTTAGACTTCCTGTCAAACTCATTCTGACATACCTGGAAGATGAGATTGGCAGCCAGATAATGCTACCCATAGCCATGAACTCGGTCCTTGGATTTCCCAGGAGGACCTGTGCCTGCCAGGGGCTGGACCCAGAGACCTGCGGTGCCTCCTTTTCCTTCGGCTGTTCCTGGAGCATGTACTACAATGGCTGTAAGTTTGCCAGAAGCAAGATCCCACGGAAGTTTAAGCTGCTTGGGGATGACCCAAAAGAGGTTGGTTTACTTCCTGATGTGCAGTCTCTACCACAGAGAATGGCTGAGCACAGGGAACTGAGCAACGCGACACACTCCGTTAAAATGCTCACTGTTAACGAGAGCTTGCCAACACGTACTGGCTCCCCTGTAGAAACACATCCTACAGAGGGATGATCATGGCGCTATCACAGCACAGAAACAGATAAAGCGTCGGGGACTCGTTCTGTCGAGGGCCTTTTGTATTTGCTCTTTATATGAATTCTAGGGTTTGAAAAGGCCGTCACCTCGTGTTAAAATCAAATGAAGACTGGTCACATTTCACATCCTAGGAACCTGAATTGCAGGCGCCTCGTTCGTGACCACCATGTTCAGGAAGGACCATTTCTAGCACGTTCATATGCCATGAGATAGTTATGGTTTCCGTGCTGAACACTCAAGTAACAAATGTATTTAGGTTTTAGTGTAAATACGTAGTCAACACCAAAGAGTATTGATTTTTACTATCGAAGATACTGTCTTTTGCCTTTTTCTGAAACTTAAAATTTGCAAGTTGGTGTCAAAATTAACAACTTTTGAGCAGAGTGCAGTCTAGAGTATGCTAATTGAACAGTCAGGAATAAACGAGCATTTATATGTGACCAAGGTTTTACTTCATATACCTTACACAGGTGACCCTCCTTATCTGCAGGTTCCGCATCTCCAAGAGAGGAGACCAAAAATGTTATGTGATGGTTGATTCTGTACTGAATATGTACAGACTTTTCATCTTCATTATTACTCCCCAACAGTAAAGTATAACAAGTATTTGTGTAGCATTTACATTGTATCAGGTATCATGAGTAATCTAGAGGGTACTTTACACTGTACAGGAGGCTTGTGTGGGTCTGTGCAAAGGCTACCATTGTATACCAGGAATGCAAGCAAACAACTGTGTGGCAGCTCCTGGAACCAGTAGTCCCCTGCAGACAGAGGGATGCCTGCAATTACCTTCTGAATTTTAAATATAATTAAAACAAATACCATAGATATTGTAACAGTGATATAGCCCTCTGAATTTAAAATGTGTTCACTTTATTATTTGTGACTATGATAGTAAGTAAAGTGCAAAAATTCTTGAAATCTAAGTAAGCTGCTTTCAAGAAATCATGTTTTCAATAGTAAGTATATTACTTAAGCATGGTAAGTGTTCTCTTTTTATAAGAGAAGGCAAGAACATGCATGTTAAATAATCCTCATGAATAGCAGCAAGTCCACATGCTCTCATTTTAACTTTCCACACTCGGCTTTTTCACCTGTCTTTCATAAGCGTGCGTCACTTAACCAGGTTTTCTGCCCACTCTGAGGGGGCAGTAATCCCCTCCCTGTCAGGTGGAAGGACTGTTCTTCGAAGCCTCTCTCTTAGGATTTCTCTCTCTAGTATGTGGTTGTATTTCTGAACCTTTTGGAAAAAAGAAATCTCAATCTAAGACGAGAGCAGATATGAATGGGGCCACCACCTACTATTTTTGCAAGCATATTATTCGAGAAACCTAGTCTTCATGAGAAGAGAGTGTTGGCAATATAACTGAGCCCTTCTTTAAAATAATCTTTGCAAAGTTTTTCGTATATACATTCTAGGTCTGAGAATTTTGTCTGCATTTTTGAAGTTACCAGTAATTTTCAGTTATCCTATGGAGAGGTCATGCTGACTTCTGAAATGCTGTCTTTCTAAACACAGTAAACTATAAAGATTAGTAAGAGACAAAATCAGCCAAACTTATCATTTCAAGTGTATCTTCCTTGGCAGCTGACTGGACAGTGAGAATAGAAAAATGTGACTTTTAAGACCGTGTAGCTTCCTTTTTCTAACCCCAGGGCAACATGGGCTCATGTTCATAAGATGTGCCCCTGTTAGGTATGTACTGTGTGTATAGTAGAAAAATCAGTGAATCATAAAAATACTAACAGGACATATAAACAAGGTGATAACGTGGTCCATTCTTTTCTTTTAGAAATAGTATTAAGATCTTTTATTTAATAAGGAAGGCACATGTTACATTTTAGATTCAATATTTAGAGAGAATAATCTCATTGCCTTTCATATATAGAGAGAAAGGACCTCGAATTTAATATGCAGAACTATTCCTTTTTATGCAGGAAGAGAAACTAGAGTCTCATTTGCAGAACCTGTCCACTCTTATGGCGCCGACATATAAGAAACTTGCACCTGATGCATATAATAATCAGGTAAGTTTAATTACTGGCAGTAATTTTAAGAATTTGTAGTGTTTTATTTTTTTGGTATATGAAAATTTTATCATCCAAAAGAGCGTTTGGTTTTTTTAGCTGTAAAGATATGTGCTGTTAAAGCTCAAGTTACTCTCTCTATTGATCTTGATCATGTATGAATAACTGTCTCTGTAAGCTGACTTTGGTGACTATGTTAAAATTACGGACCACCACCAACAGGATTTAACGGCCTATTAACTATTTTCAGTTACAAGTCTACACGCTGTAAGTGAGCTCTATTGTACACGCACACATATGTCCATGTTGCCAGATCTTTTGTTTCACCTTGGCGTTGTGAAGCCTGCTTTCTGTGTGTGTTCTGGGCAGTACGCAGGGAGAGAGCTAGGTGATCTGGTCAGAACTTGCTCATGAATGGAGCAAGACTGTCCAATCTTTACGTTACAGTAACATCAACAGCAAAACTGCTGTTCTTAAAGCATACACTCTTTAGTCCTGGGGATATAAAGCTGAGTGATACAGCTTTTCTGTCTATAGGTGATACCTGCGTTAGAAGCAACAGAGACACATAAAATAGCAGTACTAAGGTAACACAATGAGGGACCAGTAGTTAGCATAATGGCTATGTCGCTGAACTCCCATGTAGTCAACCGCGGTTTGCGTCCCGGACCCGGTGGCTTAAAACTCATGCCAGGTGCGTGTGCGTGCATGCCCAAGATCCTGAGAGGAGAATGGAGGAGAAGGGATTGTGGTGTGGCCATGCTCCCTAGGGGGGGATTTCTCTCTTTCTCTCTGGCGAGCGCACACACCCTATACCAAAAAAAAAAAAAGTAAAATAACACAATAGCCAGAATAGAAGTATGTGCACATTTCTGAAAGGATGAAAAAAGGGGCCAATACGTGGTGTGGTGGTTAAGGGCACTGGACTCCCACATGGCCAACAACGGTTCCAGTCCCGAACTTGGCAGCTTGCTTTCTCATTTTCCTTCTCTCTCTGCTCCCTTTCTGGCCCAATTTAAATAAACAGATTTTAAAAAAATAATAATTCTTAAAAAGGATTCTTCCTCGGCCAGCAGGTGGTATGGTGGTTAAGAGGGCTGGATTCCCACATGACCAACTACGGTTTGAGTCCCAGATCTGGCAGCTTGCTTTCTCTGTCTCTCTCTGATCAAATTAAGAACAATGGGATTAAATAACTCTTAAAGACTCTTCATGATCATGGAGGAGAACGGCAACATTACAAATGGCCTCAGGTGCCAAATACAAGTCTTTGAACTTTTATCCTGTAGGTGATTGTTAGGGTCTTTCAAGTGCATGGGGTGGGGGGGGGGGGGTTGTGAGGGTTAAACAATTTAGCTTTTATTTTTAAAAGGTCACTCAAGGGGCCAGCAGGTGGCATGGTGGTTAAGGTACTGGACTCCCATATGGCTAACCACAGTTTGAGTTCCAAACCTGGTGGCTTGTTTTCTCTATGATCAAATAATGGGCCCATATACTGAAAACTACAAAACATTTCTGAGAAAAATAACAGTAGAACTAACTACACAGCTAGCGACTTATACTGGGCTCGTGGACCACAAGCCTAAGTATTTAAGATTTCAGTTCTTCCCGAACTAGTAAACAGATTCAATACATGACTTATCAAAATCTCAGGTTTTCTGAAGAAATTGACAATATGAACCAAAAATATATAAATACCAAGAATCTAGAATAGTCAGACTATTTGTGGCCATACCACAATTCCTTCTCCATTCTCCTCTCTCTGGATCTTGGGCACGCATGCACATGTGCCCAGCGTGAGTTTAAGCCACCAGGTCCAGGACTCAAACCATGGTCAACTACATGGGAGTCCAGCAACATAGCCATTACACCATCTGCTGGTCTGTGGTCCCCCAGCTTTATATGCATAAGGCTTATTGCTCTACAGGGCCAGGTCTAAACATTTTTAAAATTTCCAAATACTGTGATTACCAGCTAATTTGTTTCTTTTAAGAGGAAAACTACGATTCACACCCACACTTGTCCTTTCCAGATCGAGTACGAACACAGAGCCCCCGAGTGCCGCCTGGGTCTGAAGGAAGGCCGCCCGTTCTCAGGAGTCACCGCGTGCCTGGACTTCTGTGCCCACGCCCACAGGGACTTGCACAACATGCAGAACGGCAGCACGCTGGTAAGCACACCTCCCACCGAGCGCAGCCACGCTGCACGTGGTCAGGGTACTGCGTCTCGTGCATGAAGTGCTGCTGCAAGCGACCTTTGGCATAGCGAGCACTCTAGCAGGTGGCCCTTTAGCTGAAGACTCTGGGCAAACACAAGAGAATCATGGGAATTCTTGGTGCTGATGGAAACCAGTGACTCGGCATCACCAGTTATAATGCTGCCAGGAAAACCTCCCGGAGCTCAGTGTCAGATACCTGATAGGTTATAATTAAAGGCCTCCTTGCTGAGAGAAGTTCAAGTGATAAATGTGTTGTCGTTGTCACAGTACGTACTATAGAAGGGTCTTCGTGTGCAAGAGCTCGTTTTGACCACATGTGACGGTGGATGCAATGAATAGTATCTTATTTGAGCTCGCGGTGAGGGAGAGAAGGATCAGATGTGGGGATGGAGCCATGTTCTGGTCTGACAAAGCCCAGGGTGTTGCCTTGGATTTAAAGAGATGATCCAGAGTTGGGACAGTAGCTAGCATAATGGCTATGTCGCTGGACTCCCATGTAGTCGACCGCAGTTTGTGTCCCGGACCCTGTGACTTAAACTCACGCCGGGTGCGTGTGCATGCGTGCCCAAGATCCTGAGAGGAGAATGGAGGAGAAGGGACTGCGGCGTAGCCATTCCCTCTGGGGGGTGATTTCTCGCTTTCTGTCTGTCTCTGTCTGGTGAGCACATATACCCTATAGCAAAAACCTCTCCAAAAAAAAAATTCCAGAGTGGACACAGAATTTCAGATGGAGAAAGTCCCATTGGTCCAGCCCAGTGGCGGCACATGGAGGGTCGAGTTTTGGTTCCCAGGTTGACTCGCCCATGCCGGGTACTCTTGCCATTACCCTGGCTGGCTGGGAGGGGGTCACAGTGTGGGGCCCTGTTAAGGATAATGAGCTCTCTCACTCTCCCTCCTTTTTAGAGTACCCACTTGTACGAGGGGACATTTCAGAAATAAGAGAAGAGAAACAATGAGTTAGGTTCAACAGTACAGAGGACAGAAACCGTGTTAACTTACACATTGGAGTTGGCCAAATCTAACTTTTCATTAGATTTTCATTTTGATATGAGTTTCCTAAACAGTTTTTAAACAGTTAGGAGTCTCGCATGAGGAAAGAGGCGTATGAAGGCGTGAGATGAGGGGAACATAGCACCAAGAACAGAGGAGGCCCCTTAGCAAAGAAACTTTTAGCTTCTTTTTGAAGAGGCCTCGCATCTGTCACATCTGTTTTGAAGTGGCAGAAAGCAGGAGACTTTCATTTCGGTCAGGTCGTTGCCTCCTCTTTTAGCATCTGTCACACATGCAGGGTCAGTGGGGGCCTGGGTATAGGTGGCTGGACAGCTCACTGTGGGGATCGAGTCCCAGACCCGGCAGAATGAAAACCATACAAGCGTGTGTGCGCGCGTGCCTGAAACCCCAAGAGGAGAATGGAGAAGGGATTGTGGTGTGGCCATCCCCCGAGGCGGATGCTTTCCCGCTTTCCCGCTTGCTTTCTATTGCTCTGGTGAGCACACATCCTAGAGCAGGAAGAACAAAGTGAAGGAAAAATGCATGTGACGAAGAGTCACCACCGGGAACAGTTCCTGATACTCAAACGGAAGTGCTGATGCCGCCTCGTGTGCATCTCCTTATACTGTCTCAGTGCTCTTTGTTAACGACAGATAAGGGGCTTATGGTAACACGGGTGTCCAGCTAGGCCACCAACACGCATGTGGGCACCAGGGGGCAAGATGCACATGCGCACTTGCACATTTCTGTGGGCCTGTAACCGGGGCTGTGCGGTCTCCCTTCCCTCCCACCAGGTGTGCACCCTCACAAGAGAGGACAATCGGGAGGTCGGAGGGAAGCCTGAGGACGAGCAGCTCCACGTCCTGCCGTTGTACAAAGTCTCCGATGTGGATGAGTTCGGGAGTGCAGAAGCCCAGGAGGAGAAAAAGCGGAGTGGTGCCATTCAGGTCCTAACATCGTTCCGCCGGAAGGTCAGGATGTTAGCAGAGCCCGTTAAGACTTGCCGGCAAAGGAAACTGGAAGCCAAGAAGGCTGCCGCTGAAAAGCTGTCTTCTCTGGAGAGCGGCCTGAAGAACGAGAAGGACAAGGCGGCCTCTGCACGTCCGAAACAGACGGACAGCGCGAGCCAGGCCAAGCAGCTGGCAGGTAAGCTGCTCCCAGGGCACGGTCACCATTAATGCGGGAAGGCGGCATCGGCCACCGTCTTAGTTCTGTACCGGAACCTTCCCTAGAGCCACAAGTCTTGGCTCCGAGATGGTTGTGAAATGTGCACCGTCAGCCCCAGCTAGATAGAGAAGTTTGGAACTCATTCTGTAATAAACAGCAGTTTCTAGACGGGTAAGTGACAGGGCCAAATCAGCGCTACAGGCAGGCCAGGTGGACTGGAGACACAGTGGTCAGGGAGAGAGGTGAGATGATACAGAAGTGATGCAGGTGAGGGACCAGCAGTTGGCATATTGACTATGTTGCTGGACTCCCACGTAGTCAACCACGGTTTGAGTCTCAGACCCAGCAGCTTAAACTCACACTGGGCACATGTATGTGTGTGCCCAAGATCCCAAGAGGAGAACAGAGGAGAAGGGAATGCCATGTGGCCATCCCCCCTGGCGAGTGATTTCTTACTCTCTGTCTCTATTTCTGGCGCACGCGCGCCCTGTAGCAAAAACCTCTCAAACAAAAAGTGATGCAAGTGAATTCTTCTAAAATGAGAAAAAAAAAAATCAATGTTGATGATAAACATTAGAATGAAAGAAAAAAATGTAAGAATGATTCCCAAGTTTTAAGTCTAGATAACTGAAATGGTACTATTTACTGAGAAGTTTGAAAATAAAATTTATGGAGGAACCAGGGGGAGGAAGTTTCCCTTAGATTGGGAGTCTCGTTTAGGAGGGTTTCTGCAAGTGGCCTCCTAGAGAGCCTTTCTAAACAGGTCACACCTGGACCAGCAGGTGGCGTGGTGGTGAAGGTGCCGACTCCCACATGGCTCACCATCTGAGCCCTGGAGCTGTGACTTTACAAAGTGTCACTTAAGTTTAAACTCTAATGTGTTACCTACAACTGTGTACATTTTCTTTCTGGAAAGTCTGTTCATGAAATAGGATTTGCCAATTATATAAGATGCTGTGTATGTTTGAATGAAGGGCAGTCTTTTTCTCAGATTACTGAATCTTTTAGAACTAATTTTTTATTGTTTCAATTATAATATAAATTCTATTGCATGCCAGGCACAGGCAAGATGAAATAGGGCAGGACCAGCAGATGGTGTAATGCTTACGTTGTTGTACTCCCCCATAGTCAACTGCAGTTCAAGACCCAGACCAGACGCCTTAAAACTCACGCTGGGGGCGTGTGCGTGCATGCCCAAAATCCCAAGAGGAATTGGAATATGTTTGCAATGGGGATAGGTTGGAATATCCCTTATCCAAAATGCTTGAGACCAGAAGTCAGATTTTGAAATATTTGCCTATACATAATGAGGTTTCTTAGGGACGGGACCCACGTCTGAACGGTCTGTTTCTTTCACATATACCTTTCGACACAGCCTGAAGGCGATTATACATGCAGGATACGTGACCCATCACATGAGGCCATTGCATGAGTGCAATTTTCCACGTGTTGTCATGTTGATGCTCCAAGGTTTTGGATTTTGGAGCATTACAGATTTTAGAATTTCAGATTGAGGATGCTCAATCTATATTATAGAAGCACTAGATGATGAGGTCATGGCAGCCTTTCTGGAGGAAGAGATGACTAAGCCAAGGAAGGGTAGGGGTAGAGAGAAGAGGGTGCTCCAAGCAGAGCACGTTCAGAAGTCCCAGAAAACGAGATGTTCTCACTGGAGTGGTTTTGGAGGTCTATTACATTTTTCTGCGCTTACCAGATTACACCATTATAAATTCCACATCTTACTTTTTCTTAGATTTTTGCTATAGGGCACATGTGCTTGCCAGAGACACAGAAAGCAAGCAAGAACTCCCCCTCCCCCAGGGGGAAGCTCACGCCATAGTCCCTTCTCCTCCATTCTCCTCTCGGGATCTTGAGCACACACAGGCACATGCACCCGGCGTGAGTTCCAAGCCATCTGGTCCAGGACTGGAACAGTGACTGACTATGTGAGTCCCATGAGGTCATCAGGGCATCTGCTGGTCCCTCTGCATCTTATTTCTAATTCCTTCAGCTCAAAGCATGGTGTTGGACAAGCTCTCTGCTCTTGTTCTCATATGGGTGTCACGTCGTAGAGACTGGCAGTGTTCTGCACACGCATTCAAGTGTCATCACCAGCCCTCGTAAGATTCTAACCGAGCATCTTTGCTTTGTTCTCTCCCCCGTCCACAGAACTCCTGCGACTCTCAGGACCAGTTGTGCCCCAGCCCCAGCCTGCACATCACCCCCTGATTAATAACCCTTCATCAGATGCTCCCAGCTCTTACTCTCCCTCTGGATCCACCAGTCTATACATGAGACAGCCTAACCCAGTTAGTTCTTACCCAAGCTCTTCACACACGTCAGGTGTTTATGGAGGTGCCGACACTATGAGCCTCTATGCCACCTCATCCCAAGCTGCAGGTTCATATTTGAATTCTTCTAATCCCATGAACCCCTACCCTGGGCTTCTGAATCAGAGTCACCAGTACCCATCATATCAATGCAATGGCAACGTATCAGTGGACAACTGCTCCCCATACCTGGGTTCCTATTCTCCCCAGTCCCAACCTGCAGATCTGTACAGGTACCCAAGTCAGGAACATCTCTCCAAGCTCAATCTCCCACCCATCCACACGCTTTACCAGCCGAGATTTGGAAACAGCCAGAGTTTTACCGCTAAATACTTAGGTTACGGAAACCAAAACGTACAGGGAGATGCCCTCAGCAACTGCACCATCCGACCAAATGTACACCACGTGGGGACGTTCCCTTCTTATCCCACTCGCGAGGTGGACAGCCACTTCCTGGGAGCCACGTCGCGGTTACCTCCCAATCTGAGCAACCCCAACCTAGACTACAAGAATGGTGAGCACCACCCCTCTCCTCACGTGGCCCATAACTATGGTGCAGCTGCAGGTGTGCTCAGCAGCTCTCTCCACGCCCTGCCTGTCCAGAGCAAGGAGGAGGATGTGCTTTCCCACACAGCAAATGGGCTGTCTAAGGTGCTTCCAGGTCTTGCCCAGGACAGAACTGCCCCTGTCCATGGTGGCCTGCACAGGTTAGGGGAGGCCCACAGTCAGGAAAAGCAGCCTCCGGCCCCAGGCCAGGGCGTGGCTCCGGCAGAGGATGGGGATGTCTGGTCCGACAGCGAGCAGAGCTTTCTAGATCCTGACATCGGGGGTGTGGCCGTGGCCCCCACGCACGGGTCAATCCTCATCGAGTGTGCAAAGCGTGAGCTCCACGCCACTACCCCCCTAAAGAATCCCAACAGGAACCACCCGACAAGGATCTCGCTGGTCTTTTACCAGCACAAGAGCATGAATGAGCCGAAACATGGCTTGGCTCTCTGGGAAGCCAAGATGGCAGAGAAAGCCCGTGAGAAGGAGGAAGAGTGTGAGAAGTACGGCCCGGACTACGTGCCTCAGAAAAGCCACGGCAAAAAGGTCAAGCGGGAGCCCGCCGAGCCACACGAACCTTCGGAGCCCACTTACCGGCGCTTCATCAAGACCCTGGCCGAGAGGACCATGTCCGTGACCACGGACTCCACAGTGACAACGTCCCCGTACGCCTTCACGCGGGTCACGGGGCCTTACAACAGATACATCTGATGTCGCCCTCTCGTCGGTTACCTCATTGGAAAAGGCCACAGCCAGCCCGTCGGCCATGTGGCTCCTGGGACATGGGTGGTGGGCAGCAGTCCCCATATTCACGAGTGTGATGGGAAAGACCTCAGCTCCCCACAAACCAAGAGGTGGCCTTACCGTAGCACGCCCTCTCCAGCGACTCCCAGTGGTCACAGATGGGGCATGCTACGCAGAAGGCAGGAAGAGTGGCCCACGGTTCACTTCAAACACTGGCTCCATTGCTGGACGAGACGAGCATGGAGGTGACATTCTGCCCCTTACAGTGCTTCACATCTGTGACCACTGAGAACAACGCCGAGTCTGTGTCGCGGATCACAGGCCAGCCCTGCGGTGTCACAGCGGCAGGAGCTTGGCATGCCGCCTGGTGCTGAATGAATAGACGGAGGGACTGAAATACTGGAATTATGGCTTAACATGCAGTTTTTACTGTAATCTTAATAGTACTTTTTATTTATCAAAATAGCTACAAAATACGTAAATGAATAGCAGCAAAACACTGAATTTGTTTGGATGTTCTAAGAAATGGTGCTAAGAAAATGGTGTCTTTTAATTGTTGAAAATTTAATGCCTTTATATCAAGATGCTATCTGTGTACTCCAGTGCCCTGAAACAATGGGGTACCTTTTCTTTCAAGTTTTTAATCATAATTACCTATTCTTAAACAAGCTTTTTTTTTTTTTTAACAAAATGTGGACATTTTAAAGGCCTCTGGATTTTGCTCATCCAGTGAAGTCCTTGTGGGACAGTAAACATATATGTACATATGTACACACACATGTATATGTGCACACATGTATATGTATAAATATTTTAAATGGTGTTTTAGAAGCACTTTGTCTACCTAAGCTTGGACAACTTGAACAATGCTAAGGTACTGAGACTTTTTTAAGAAGAGTTTACTTTCATTTCAGAATGCAAAGTGGATTTTTTTAAGGAAATAAGGAAAGCTTTTATGATATTTTTGCTCTTAGTCACGCATCTACAGCCAGTTAGAGCCCAGCTGGGGCCTCCTGGATTCAAGGGGACCGTCAGTCCACAACATACGTTTCTGGTGCTCATGTCACAGCCATGCTGTACAGTGTGCTGCCACGTCGGGTGGCAGGCCCATTGCTCCCGTGTGCACAGTTCTGCATTTTCTGTTAACGGCAGGTGATCCGTAATTGGCCGCCTGCTCCAGGCACCACCCGACTCCTCCACTTCAGCTTCGGCTGCTTTATGGACCTCTATGCCCTTCCGAGAGCTGAAGGGCAGTCTGCTTGTGTGTCAATAATTCTGTCCTTGGTGCCGTCGTTCCTTAGCTAAGTGTCCTCTTTACCAGGAAGGTGGAGCAGCCGACGCCTGCGTAAGATGAACAAACAGGGTTAGTTCCATGTGAATCTGTTGGTTACAAGAAACACAAAACAGGCAGCTGTTTGCTGTGGTGGTTTTAAGTCATTCATTTGTATAAAGAAGTGGAAGAGTTGTATAGTAAATTAAATTGTAAACAAGACTTTTTAACACGATGCTTTAGTATTTTAGTACTGTAAAAAATTTAAATATATACATATATATGTATATACGTATATACAGATCTATATGTGTATATCTATATGGGTTTGAAGCAGAATTCACATCCTGATGGTGCTACTCAGCCTGCTACAAATGTCATAATGTGAGCGAAGAATTCATTGGAAGTTTGAGTGATGCGTTCCTATCTTGTCATATACCTCAACACTAGCTTGGCAATAGGATACTGAACTGAGAGTGAAAGCATAGAGCATTGTGTACCATCATTTTTACCAAGTCTTTTTTTTAATTTTTTTTTTTTAAAAATCATACCTTTGTTTCAATACTTGATTTCTTAGCAAGTATAACTTGAACTTCAGCCTTTTGTTCTAAAAATTCAGGGATATTTCAGCTCGTGTTCTCCTTATGCCAACATGCCACCTGTGTTTATGTCACATGGTTGTAGGTTAATAACTATTCTTTTTCAGGGATTTAACCTTTTTATTCTGAATCCCTCTTACTTGTCTATGTACTGATGTAACTAAAACTGATTTTGTAAATTGGTTGGCTCTTTTTATTATAAAGAAAACATTTTAAAAGTTTGGGGACTCCTATGACTGTCCAAGCAGAATATAATTACATGAAAAGAGAATGCACTGAGTTGATAAAGGGAGAATTACGAGGCAGGAGTTTGGCAAGTGGCCGTTAGCCAGAGGTTTTTCACTCTCTAAAGGAAGCTTTCTGGGCCCTGTGTCAGCACAGGTTCGTGCTCCGCGAAGACTTCCCCAACAAGCCAACACCTCGAGCTATGGTGTGCAATAGACTGTGTGTAAACAATTGCCCTTGTGTAAATACGTTCTTGCTTACTAGCATTTCAAATAAATTCTTAATCAAGAGGCCTTTGGGTTGTATTGGTCAAATCTTTATAAGATGGCTTTTGTCTTTTAAAAAAAAAAAAAGTCTCTAGTTTTTGGCTGCATTCAACTTACAAACATTTCAAAAATGTTTGCTCTGCGTATAGACCACATGGTTTTCACGTTTTCCATCCAGCGTCCTGTCTACCCCAAAGCATTTGGTTGTTACACATACACTTGGTTGTTCTGAGTCAGCCATGCCTAAGGAATACTTGGTTCGTCATCCACTGTCATCTGTCAAACTGCTAGCCAACGAGAGCAGGATTTGCAGTCTGAGGGGTGGGGAGAGGTCAGGTAGAGGAAGGGAGACAACTGAGCAGCATATTGTAAATAGCAGATCATTGTAAATATCACACCTGCCTCGGAAGGAACGGAAAGCAGATCTACAGTTTGCTTCTCTAGGAATATCAGGTTGACTAGATAGCCATACTTGAAGATGCTTCTGAGTGGTGTCAACGTTACTTGAATGAATTTTTCATCCTGATTGACACAGTGCTGTACAGTTCACGGCTCGAGCTAGTAGTTAACCTGTGTAGGAGACTTGCAGTTGGACACTAAAACAATGAACTTCTATGTGCATTTTTCTATGCTTTACTTTTTGTAAGTTAGTCTCATTTCATTTTCATGAGATGTTTGGTTTATAAAATCTGAAGATGGTTATAAATACTGTAAGTATTGTAATGTTATGAATGCAGGTTATTTGAAAGCTGTTTATTATTATATCATTCCTGATAATGCTATGTGAGTGTTTTTAATAAAATTTATATTTATTTAATGCACTCTAAGAGTCGTCTTCCTGAAGTTTCTGTTGACTGAATCACTGCCCCCTCACTGCAGGAAAAAAATGAAACATTTTAAGTTTTTTTAGATCGTTATCCTTAATCTTAGACTCTTCTGAGGTGGTAACAGTTATTAAGGCCGCATATTTCCCTGATCAGTAGGCTAGAAAGCCCCTGGCTTCCTGTTTCCAGCTTCCTCAGCCTGTCGCACAGACGGTGAAACCAGGGTGGAGCAGCAACTCTGCTGACCTTCCGGGAGGGCTTGCAGGGACAGCTGGTATCCCAGAGTGGGATTCAGACTTCTTAGGTCCAAGGACGACTGTTTGCAGACACCCACCTTCCTCTTCACACCCCTGTTCAAGGAAAAAAATCCCTCTTCCTGCTGTCAGGGAGGCAGGCATGTGTTAGGCCAGGGGAGCGAGCAGGGATGGCCGAGAGGCCTTAGACAGGTGCACCAGCCCCCCAGGGTCCCCACGTGACTTCAGGAACCTGTAGCTACCTTGTTCTCATTGCTCCCTGTCCTCTGCCATGTGAGCCATCCCATGCACACCTGTGCGCTCTGGTGAGACATCCTAGAGCCACACGGTCATTAAACTTGGTTATCAATCTTCCAACCCTCTGCTTCTTTCCAAACTGGCAGAGGAATTTTCACCCTGCATGAAGGGAATTCCCTTTCCCATATTCCTCCCACTCGGCTTCGACTGGGGCCAGCTTTGATTGACATAATACAACCCAAGAAGTGACTGCAACTTAGTAACCTTTGAGCTCTCAGACTGGGGCATCCCTCCAGATCTGCTTCAACCCCAGCCCTTAGAAGCAGCCTCACTGTTGGAGGCAGCAACCTGGCCACTTTTTTTCTTCCAACTTAGACCCTGCAGGCAGGGCAGACTGTCAGCCTTGTCTGACCATCCAGCCTCAGGCTGAACCTGTGGAACCTCCTGCTCTTCCTGTGTGTGAGACCCCACCACCCAGGGAAGGAGAATTTCAGCCTGAGCTCAGAAGCTCGTCCTGGTAAGGCTCCACCCTGATCCCAGCTGCAGAGGCCCCTGGCGCCAGCACAGGTGAGGGTGTGAGCGGACCTGCTGATCAGGCATCCTGTGGACGCAAACAGGAGACAGCTGGCAATGGCAGAGAAGCCAGCACTCACGGAGCGTTCTTGGCCCGTTGCCACCCTGGCAATAATCACCAGGAACGGACCTTTCACCAGCAGGCGCAGCCTGCCGCCTGTCACATGACCGCTTTCCTCAGTCCGGCTCATGGGCAACTGCCTCTCTTGGACCCCTGCCTCATCCTACTGCTCTGCTCACCTGCTGTGTGAGAACCAGCCTGATCCAGAAGGTTTTTCGTTGTGTTTTAAGAGATTTTTGTTATGTGTTTGCTCACTGGAGAGAGACCGTGAGAAATCACCCCTTGTGGGTGATTTCCTCCATTCTCTGGGGGATTTGGGGAACACATGCATATGCACCCAGCATTAGTTTAAAGCCACTGGGTCCAGGACTTGAACTACGTCAGCCATGTGGGAGTCTAGCGCCTTTAACCACGATGCCACCTGCTGACCTGGGCCAGAAAGTTTAGTCAACAGGCCTCTACCCCCAGTGGTTGTGAATTGTTGATTGTCTGAAAGGCCACCTGCAGGGGAGTCCACAAAGGCTGCAGGCTCCACAAAGGGAGCACCTTTGCTGTCACCCCCACTGTGAGCAGAGCACCTTCAGCATGAAGGCTGGAGACACTGGCTCACTGACCTCAGGGCTTCTGCTCCTCAGGGAGGCTCAGCACTCTCCGCCTCCATCCCTGAGAAAGACCCTGGCCCTTGCGGTGGTGAGCAGTGGTGCGCGTGGCCACAGCGGTGCTAAGCTCCATGCACATGCCTTCGGCTTCCAGCACAGGTAGTTTTGTTCCCATGTACTCAAAGCTACCTGCCTGAATCCAGGCGCATTTCTGACCAACAGCAGCCAAGTGCAGCCTCACCGCTTCTCCCTCAGTTCCCCAGGCAATGCCGATGGTTGGAAAGCAAGACGCCCACCTCTTCCTTGAGGCTGTTAGTGACAAAGCCCTATGTGCAAAGTGCACAGAATGAGAGAAGGGGCACCTGGTTCCTGTCTTCAAAGGCCTCAGCACGTAGGGAGCCAGGCCCTCGAGTGGGCCACACTCCTGGCCTCCCCCTTGGGGTTTCTCACTGCCTCCAGATCAAGGTAAACCCTATTGCGGAGGCCAAGAGAGTCCTGCCCTCTTCCCTTGACACCCTAGTGTATGGGATTTGGGTTAGTTCCCCAAGGTAGCAACTCCTTCAGGCTGGGGAAGGCTCCCTGCCCCCTCAGCCACCTCCTGCCACTCACAGCCGCCAGCACTCCTGGAAGGTAAGAGCCCGAGTTCTCGCCCCAGCCCACCCCACGTCTGCCAGTGCCTGGATGTAAGAGGAGTTTGGATGATTCCAAATATGCCCCTGAAGAATGACTTATGAAACAGCCAGGGAGATGGCAAGCCAGGGAGGTGACGTGGGAGCCACCTGGTGAGATGCGAGGGTTTTGTGAGTAGCAAGGGAGACCTTCGTAAGGCCTTGGATCAGAAGAATACAAAATCCGAAATGAAACAGCCCGTTCACAGAGTAATCCAGAGGCGTTCTCAGCTGTGTACGAACTATGCCCCCCACCCCAGTACCGTCTATGCCCCCAGCGATGGGGAGGATGAAACAATGCAGACTGGGACTGCCATGCTTCAGAGGTTGATGACGGGAGGCGGGATACGCCCAGGGGAGGAGAATAAGGTCTGAGCGGCAGGAAGCAGGTGGCTGCCGGGTGATGGGTCAGGCCTTGGGTTATTCAGAGGAATGTGAATGCCCTGGAAGGTCTGCTCCTGGGTGAGCAGAGGGACGCTTAGCTGGGCTGCGAAGGATAAGGCTTTTAGAGAGGATAAGGGCCAGAGAAACGCTGTGGGGGGCGGGGGCTCTATTTAGGGGACACTCCCTCTGCCATTATGAGATAGGGAGGAACAGCAGTTAGCATAATGAGATAGGATTCCTCTCCTCTGGGCGGTATACTTTTTTGGGTCCAAAATTGTTTAATAGGTATGAATTTTACAAACATTTCTTAGATTAGCGGTAGCGGTGGAGCTGGAGTATTGCGCCTTCTCCAAGCAGCACGGGAATGCCACCAATAGTGTGGTGCAACTTGTGGCCCTTTCCAAGGCCTCGGCTCTTGCGGCCTGCGGATGTCAGCCCCGCATCTCCCTGTGCTTGTGAACTGGCTTGGTAATCCACTGGGTGTCAGGGTTTCTTCTGATAGCTTTATGGAATGGATCAGTGAGGATGACCTCAAAGAATCTGTATGTGGCATCTTCACCCACCCAGTAAGAATTCCGGACTCAGAGAACCCCACAGTGGCGTCCAGCTCGCTCCTCTGCAACAGACTACACGCTCTGAGCAAACTTGAGCTGGTTAACACCATGCCATAGTTGCGCCTTTGGGGACTGGGCATTTGCAGCCTCCATGCAGAACACGAATCCTGTATATCACATAACCTTGATTCGCCTTCAGCCCAGTCTGTGCGCTTTCTCTGGCCGGGTGGGCAGGCACCCAGTGCAGGCCGAGAGCTGGCAGTACTAGCAGCAGCGGATCGCAGGAGAAAGCGCATCACCTCAGACTGCTTCTTCTGCCACAGCTCCTGGATGTATTTGGACGCGCCCATCTTGGCTTGACCTGATGGCTGCCGCCAGACGGAAAGGAAAGAGCCTTTCTCCCCTGCGGTGTTATTTCATAATTGCCAAAGGGAAAAGAGTTGGAGGTAACAGGGTAGAAGAAAGTTTGGCTTTTCATAATTTAAATAATCAGATTCTAGCTCAGCCCTAGATGAGTTACATGAGCTTTTTGATCAATTTCCTCATTTCTCCCCCAAGCAGAATGAGTGACGACTCTCCCAAAGGCGGCTGTGAGGACCCATGGGCTAGCCTGGGAAGGCCCAGGAAGATGCCTGGAACGAAACAAGTGGGGCTTCTCCAGATGGCTCGGGGGGCTGCAAGGGTGTAGATTTGTATTTACCCACCCTACGTCACCTCTGAGACAAGAGGACGGAGAACAGAGAAGGGGAGCCAGGAGGAAAATACCTTTTAAAGATTGTTACATCCATGGGTGAAATAAGCAAAGGCCGTGGTCCTAGAACTTCGGAGCACAGATCTTTATAAGTAGCAGAGCGATAAAGGAGAAAAAGTGCTGGACCGATCAAGGAAGCTCATGACAGCAAGAGGGTACACCCCAGAGGATGAAAGCTTAAAGGACCAGGAGGTAGCATAGTGGTTAAGGAGCTGGACTCCCACAAGACTAACAGAGGCTTAAAACTCACAATGGGGGGATCAGCAGTTGACGCAATGGCTATGTCACTGGATGCCCATGTAGTCGACCATGGTTCAAGTCCTGCTCCCGGGAGCTTAAACTCAAGCCGAGCACATGTGCGTGCATGCCCAAGATTCTGAGGAGAATGGAGGAAAAGGGATAGTGGCGTGGCCATCCCCCCGGGGGATGATTTCTCGCTTTCTGTCCGACTGTCTTTCTGGTGAGTGCACGCGCCCTATAGTGAAGACCTCTTAAAACACACACACAGTGGCATATATATGCACACCCAAAATACTGAGAGAATGGAGGAGAAGCGATTATTGCATGGCTATCCCACCCACCCCCAGGAGAGATTTCTCACTTTTTGTCTGTCTCTCTGGCAAGTACCCATGCCTATAGCACAAATCTCACAAAACAAAACAAAAAAAAAAAAAACAAGAGAAGCATAGCCCAGAGTCCTTCCAATGTTTTCACTTATATATTTAAGAAATTGCTTATAGAACTCCGACCATATGCCAAGCCCTGTGCAGACAGTGGAAATGCAAGCTTACAAAGATAAAAGCCCTGTGCGCACTGGGACACATGGCACAGTAAACACAGGAATTCTAGAGCCATAGATGCCTGAAGTCAGCTGCCACTGAGTATGGAGCAACCGGGCTCTGCAGGGCCCAGCAGA